CAGAGGCGAATTTAGAAAGTTTAGATAAAAAGTATTTATTAAAGTTTTCATAGGTTTGTTTTAACGCCAGTTTGTGTTACCTAACTATGTAACTTAATTCATTCTAATTAAAGAGAGAAATGGGTTGACCAATAACAGGACCTTAAAATGTTTGCTATAGATCGACTACAATGTACGTTAATATGTAATACATTTAAATCAATTTAGATCAATCTTAATGATGTGATTTTAAATAGCAGAAGCGGATTTAGGGTTAGGAAGGGGGTGGGGAGTGGTGAAAAAAAAAAAAATTGATCACCCAAACGCATAAGGTTATTTTCGGGCGTCAGCAACTAAAGAAAATAGGGCCTAGGCTATTTAATATTATGATGTAGCTGGGGCATGTATTTTATGGTGATAGATTAATTTAAAAGAAGTAAATAACATTGTTCTGTATATATTATTTCTTCAATTTCAAACGAACGGCCCCTGATTTTCCTGTAATTTTTGCAGTATTTCAAATGAATATGTACCCACATAACTGTCTTCTAATCGGATTAAAATCTGGCCGAATTTTGGCCGATATTGAAAAAAAGTTTGGCCGAATTTGGCCGTGAGATGGCGTGTGTTTGGCCGTGAAGCCTGTCGACTATCTGGCAACCCTGCTGTATATGTCTACCTTGACTACAGTCCCCATACAACAGATTTAATGTCTGTTTTTTCTGGTGCATGTAACTTTATCTAAAAAATAAGCTCATACCTGTTGTAGGAGCGTGTGTTGACGTTCGTACAGTAAATAGGTATTTCATTATAATTTTACCGTTCGTAATTAAACTTGTACAGTAGTATGCAGGGCTGGAAAAAGTGCGTGACCGGCGGTTGGAGGCACTGATCATTACGTTGGAAGCATTTTAGAAAAAAACATTTTTTTCTTTTGGTTACTGTTTTGCTATAATAGTGCAAAGATAACATTTTGTGCTGGAGGCATTTGATCAAGATAATTTTCATGGTTGGAAACACAAAAATATTTTTTCCAGGCTTGGTAGTATGTACTTCCATCATGAAATAGATTATTGAATCAATGCTATGGAGGAATATGGGCAGTATGTTTGGTAATAGTGAATTAAGTTCTATCAACTGTATTCCTATGACAAAATGTAATTCCGTTACCAAATGTAATTCCGTTGCAATGTTTTCTACAAAACTAGTGAAGATCAAAGACCAAGTAAAAAAAAATAATTGGTTAGCATCCTTTTGGTATCAAATTTCATGGTAGGGAGGGAGGTTTTTTTTTTTTTTTTTCTCGTCGAACATGAAAAACCAGCGTCGGAAGGAAAATTAGCAAAACAAAGAAGAGGAAAACAAGAGGCCAAAATTGGATACAAGAAATCATGTAATTCATCTATAGCAAGCAGATAAGATTTGCCTATATGAATAACAGTCATATTGAAATCCCTATGAAGTTTTAAAACATGCAACATTGTATATGTTTACAGAACTGATGATATCGATAACAGGTTTATAAAGCATTCCATCCTAAGTGGCGAGTGTAATTGCTGTTGGATGTGAAATTAAAAATAAAAACAGCAAAATAAGAAGATTGAAGTTTGTCATAGTCGTATAATAATTCATTAATTGTCCATTCATAAACAGAAACGTAATTTTTGAACTGGCATTTTGTACAATTGATTACTATTTGTGATTGTTTATGTGATTGAGTATGTACATATAGTGATAATTTAGTGAATATTGTTGATGAGTTTGACTAGTATCATGTGCTATGTTTATGCTGAGAAACACTTTGACATCTAGTTGGACCAGCTGTTTGGAAACATCACGTTACTGTACCAGCATGTGAATATTCCATGCTTTGTGTTTAAGTTTGTGTTTGCTGGACATTAATTATAACTGGACCATACTGGGTTTGTTGTTGGAACAACACAACAGTCATCATTGATGCCATGCAGGGATTTCGCCAGAAAAACAAAATAGACGGCCTATTTTGTTTTTCCAAAATGAAAGCCAGTGGGCGTGGCACTGAGCCGATGGCGGGCCACGCCCATTGTGTAATAATCCCCACCGATTATTGGTACGAAAACGTATATTCAATCAATAAATGTTGTTTTTATCGAACGTAAATATGATTTACCTTTAGTTTAATGTAACATTCAATAGATTTGAAGAATATAAAGAATTTGCTAAAGGTAGACCAGGTCCAATTGGGCTAGGCCGAGCTGATTAGGCCAAGCCGTCCAAGCCGTCACGGTAAAAGTTGTCGTCCTAAATAATTGTAGGCAGTCCAAAAGACGGCCGGATGGCTCGCTCGCTAATATACGCATGCACTATCTCGCCACTGTATTTCCAGTAATAAATTTATCTATGCTGTCCTACCTATGAAATAGCGTGAAATATTTGTTTTATTTCGTTTATCTTTAAAATTTTATTTCGTGAAATATTGCACACAGGTAAGAAGTGAACATGCCACAGTTTTAAACTGATGGGCACAGCCATGTTTGTTGTCTTGTCTTGATGTCTTGTCTCCGGCCACCACAGAGCAGTTCCTCCTTGTTTCTCTTTCGCGCTGTGGATGTCTACTTCCAAAGTAATAATAATAATAATAATAGTGTAGTTTTATATAGCGCACATATCCATCTAATGTAAGATGCTCAGGGCGCTTGAAATGTGGACTAGGAACTCGACCAATGACTTTCTTCACCCCTAAGGGTCCCTTCCCTTCGTGTCTGTGCTACCCGGTAACCCGGTACCAGCAACTCTCGTCGTCCACCACAGAGGCTGTCTGTTCCAGTACACCGGGGTAACCCCCTACTCGTCTCGAAGGATGTACTGGGTTCTTTATAGTGCACAGGAGCCATTGTATACACTGTAAAGTGATGGATGATGATGTAAACATTGTAAAGTGATGGAAATACCAACGCGCTGATTGGCCGACTTGGCTTTTCTGCACAAAGCATGAGACGTAAGCATCGGATCGGAGTTTAGTTTGCTAATATAAACCTAATCCCGAGTAAATCTTAATGCTTTGCATCGGCTGTACCGTGTATACAAATACACTCTTTTTATACTACTACTACCTGTATAAAACTAGGCCTTTTCTAGATAGAAGCAAGGACTAGGATGGAATGGAACTGCAGGGATAAGCCCAGTCGGCTGGCGTTCGGACGGATGGTAAACAAGCCTAGGCCTATATAAATTGCCTTTGGGAGATGGAGTTTTTGAGTGTTTTGTAAAAAAAAAAAAAAAAAAATCAGGTCGGGGGCTTTTCCAACGGTCGGGCATGCTAACCAATTGTTTTATTTTACGTGGCCTAATGGTAAAGGTGTATGACTAGTAAGAGAATATAAAGTAACTTGAGTTTATGGACAAAAAACATTTATCACTTTTTTGGTAACAAAATTACGGTGTGATATTACCCAATATCTGCCAACTTGCTGTGAAAATTGTAAGATGCCATGTCAGAGTCTATCTCAACATTTGAGTTCTAGGGACCATTAAGTCAAATATTCAGAAAAATTGAAGTCAGGAAGGGTTGAGTTGAAGCATAATTGGGGATTATTTTAAAAATTAGCTATTTAAAAAAAAATTCTGAATCATATGCTCGAATAGACCAGTGGTTTTTGAAGATTATGAATTAATAAGACTAAAATTTCACTTGAACCAAATTCCACATATTATGAAACCCAAGTTTAGATTAAACGCATTAAATTTTTGGCCATCTAATGAAGAATTGCCTATGTATTTCCATCATGAATAGATTATTGAATCATTGTCACAATGATTGTGATAATGAGCTAGAAATAAGCATTGAATTCTATTAACTCTACTCAACGTCATGACCACAACTTCCGTATGAACGAGCGAGGATGTTTATTCCATTCTCTTAGACACATGCACAGCATGGTAGGTAGTTGTTTCCAATTAACTGCCAATGTTGTTTTTCTTAGTGACGACATGGTAAATGTGTTTGAATAAAACATTTAAAATATTTGTTTCGTCTTGCTTTATTTATTTGTAATGTTTAAAATACCTGACAGCAAAAACATGCTTAATAGTTGTTTACTCCTTGCTTCACATCACATCATATTTGTAGGTTGGATCACATGTTCTCTAAATGTGGTCTTTCTCGATGTTCTTCGCACTCGACCAGACTAAAAACTATGATGTTTTTTTTAGTGTGTAAATGTGTTTTCAATGAAAATTAGCAGGGAACCTCCATGTTTTGGCATAGGCCTAATTGTAGGTTGTCAAAAGTGTGTTCATTCAACAAATGACACGAGTAAAATGAAAAGAACACAAATATATCCAGCTGATAATATCACTTTTATTTGAAAAGTTAACAGAATGATTTAATAATTTATTTAATGATTTAACTACATACTAGGAAAAACAAATATTTAAATCAGTGCCGTGGTGAGCTTGGGCTTCACAGTTTGGGCTAATTTTGAGTGCTGAAATTTGAACTCACAGTTTAACGTACATTTAACCAGAATTGATAAATTTACGCGAGCAAATGCAAGTTATTAAAGTATGACTGTGCATGCATTTTTCATTTCACGTAAATATATCGTTTACTGATTTGTTTACAATGACATAAATCCACCTTCCTTTTGAAAACAGAGTGGCTATGATGCAGAGATGTAGGCCTACACTGTTACTACTACTAGTGCATTGAGATAGCGAGAGTTAGTTTTAAGGCTAGGGTAAAGCCAAGGTTGACCAATCGGCGCATTAGCATTTTAATCACTTCTGCGTAAAAAAAGCCACAGCGTTTTGAAAAAGCTGTAGGCCTAGGCCTAGGTCTAGGATCTCAATCTATTTTTTTGGAAAACAAGGAAGTAACAGGGTCAGAGAGGAGAGGGCATCCTACCTAGGATTCCTAGGCCAGGCTAGCTAGTAAATTGTTTAAGAAAGAACTCGTAAAGTCCCTTCGATGTAGATAAGATTTTTTTTTCACAAAGATTCATATTATTTGAAATTCTCTCTTCGAGGATGTTAAACTAGCTCCTTCTGGTGGGTGAACTGCTTCAAAAGCGGCTTTAAAAGCAAGACTAGAGAGGCCTAATAACTAAGGCCTAAAACTATCCTTTCTTTCCCGATCCCTAGATAGATTTTATTTTTAGTTGGCCTATGTTCTAGCCTGCAGACCTATCCACTATTATTCAGTTAACAAATGCATACTTACTAGTAGATGAATATCAGTTTAAATGTAAATAGTATACTGCAGAAACACAACCGACGAAAAAACAAGGAAGGACATCATTCCTTACTATCATCAGCAACAAGCTAAATATTATGGCGTATTAAAACTAAAAATTGCATAAACTTCAAACTTCCGGGAATAGATAGAGGGCGGTAAACAAGTATTGAATTTTGAAAGGTGGATTAAAAATGTGCATGAATCAAGTATAGTGTCCTGGGCACGACGTTATAAACTGCATCCGGTCGAGTCGTCGGCGACTAATTCCGACAACCCCATCTGGTGGTATTTAGCGGCCGCCAATGGGAGGGTGGATGGACACCCAGCAGCACGAAAAAAAAAACAGCTGAACAAAGGGCGGATGAACTCCTCGGAGCCAACGGCCAGCCATGCCTTAGTTTAAGAAGTAGGTTTTTTAGTTTCATAAAATAACTTCAACTTTCTTTCTTTTTTCTCAAAATGTCCAAATCAAAGAGCTCAATCACCAAGCGCATAGAGGCTTTTTCGCATGATGCGCTCTACAAATCCAACTATTATTTATTATTATGTATTAAAGCATTCAGTTACTGCAAATTATGTAATAACAATGCATCGAAAGCACTGGTCATTTTGTATTTCAATGTACATGATAATACAGTATAAGAGATAAATATGTTGACGAAATTAACAATGAGTTATTGTATTATGGATACAAACAATTACGGGATGATTTCGAAGGGAACTGTTGAATTTTACTTTATGACCTTTATTCAAAATGTCCTTACGACAGAATTGGAGGAACTGCATGATATGGAGACAATTATATTAAATGAAATATCACCCACTAATTAAATGCTAAACAACCTTTATTACGTATTATATATTTATCTCTTTTAAAGCTATTAATACTATTATTGTTTTTTTTTTTTTTTTAATATTTATTTATTGTTTTTGATTTCTTTGATCTGATATTCATAATCCCTATCCCTATAAATAAATATAATAATAATAATAGTAGTAGTAACAATAATAATGATACTAATAACAATATATGTAATGCTAATTAGTAATATTAGTACTTGTAATAAAACTGATGATGATGATAATAATTATATTATTATGTATTATATATTTATCTCTTTTAAAGTTATTAATACTATTATTGTTTTGTTTCTTTTATTTTATATTTATTTATTGTTTTTGATTTCTTTGATCTGATATTCATAATCACTAACTTTTTTATTATTTATAATAGTAATATTTAAAAAAAATGTATATACATCAGATTAACTAAACAGGCCTAAAATAACAGTAATAGATAATATTAACTTGCAAAAATAGTAAAATAATAATGACAATAATAATAATAGTAGTAGTAGTAACAATAATAATGATACTAATAACAATATATGTAATGCTAATTAGTAATATTAGTACTTGTAATAAAATTGATGATGACGATAATAATTATAATGGCCATGATAAGAACAATAACAAATTAATAATGCAGTGATAATGATAACAATAATAATCAGAGTAATAATATTAATAATAATCGAATAATAATAATAAAAACAAAAATAATAATACAGTAATAATCATAGGCCTAATAACAATAATGACAATAGTAAACAATAATGATTATGTTAATGATGATAATAATAATCAGAAGGTTTTATAGAGAACTGTTAATACCAGTAAAAATATTTTATGTACTGTATTGAATTTTTAAATTTGATCTCTTAATTTGTTAATAGCTTGATGTGTGTTTCTTTTGTGGTCACGTTGCTGAGTTTGTTGTCCCGCGTCTGTGGATTCTCTTCCTCAAGACTTGTCTGCGATATTGGCAATTTGTTAATATTTTCAAGACAAGGCTAGTTTGCTGTTCGCCTTTGGATATTTTGATGGATTTTGGCGCTATATAAATTCGATGATTGAACGCAACATAAAATATTCTGATCATTATTTTTATGGGAAATCGTACATGTCAAAAACTAACGCATGCGCAGAAATACTATCGCCGTGAAGTAGATTGCTGCTTGCTAGAAATACATTCTGTACAAATAAACAAAACACAATCGGGTTGTCCTAGACCGATAGAGGTTTTGCTGCAGTGACATCTCGCTGCTGGCGACTCGGTGCTGGAGCCGACTCGCTGCTGGCGAATCACCTAGTACGCATGCGCAAATGTATGGAACGCCGATCACGCAAAAATAGTGATTTTAGAATTTGACTCGGTAATGGTACCTAGTACGCATGCGTACACGTATGGAACGCCGAACATGCAAAAGTATTTTTTGCTTTTTAGCATGCGGCAACCTGTGGAGGTATATTTGGTATACCAAAAACGGACTTCGGTCATGTTCCAACTCCATAGCTATAATAAAAAATATGATGAAAATTACATAGAATTACATTGGAATAAATTAAAATGTTACAAAGCTATCCTTATACATAAATTTACTTTACCATGTTATCTGTAATTGGAGAATTTCAGAATTTTATTAATTTTCAACAATGTGGAAAAAACACAATATTCCTGGACCAAACGAGACTATGATTTTTGGAAGCTAGGAAGCCCATAATGGGAAGAACTACTAAACTTATTAGCGAATCAAATTAAAGCAGTCTCGATGATCAAAAAGATAAAAGTGAGAGTTTCTTCTTTTTTGGTAACATATCCGTCCGATCGGTACTTTGATAAGAAAGCTTTTGTAAGAAGAAATACACAATGGGAAAAATTAAGTCGTCTAAAAGTAAAAAGCAGTCCATTACATAATCTCATAAACGGCTTATATTAATTAATATTGAAGAAGACAGTTGTACTTTATCACTGTGTCCCACTATAGCCAATTTGGCAACCACTGGACACAATGAAAAAGAACAGGATTATCTTGAAAAATAATAACAAAATATTTACAGTTTATCACTGTGTCC